TATTTATTACAATAATTATGGATTACATTTTTTTTAGTCTTACGGATAATTAACTAAAAAATCCTAATACTTTTTTATTTCATTTGAGATATGTAAAAGTAAAATTGAAATAATAACATTTAATGTTTTTTAAATTAAAAATTAAGGTAACTAATTTAGTAAATGAGATAACTAAATCAAAATTGAATAATAATTTCTAAAAAAAAATAAGAAGCTCCTCAATGAAAGAAATTTGCAAAAAGTTGCCACTTTCTCTTTTGATCAAAATGTCCCAAAGCACAACAAATTGCATTTTAAAAGAAAGCTGTGTAATCAATGATCTGTTGATCCGAGTGAAAAAAGTTCAGTTTCTCTTAAATATAATTTTGAGTTTGAGTCTTGTGAATAAAAAAACAGACACTAAAAGAACTTATTTACTCATGGGGTTTGATGTGACTCGATTCCGAATTAGTTGAGATCTAATATGGTTATTCATAGTAGTAATTTTTTTAATAAAATAAAATATTTTAAATTTAAATTACATAAAATACAACTATGATAAGTTAAGGAATAAAATGAATTTACTTTCTTATACAGCTAAAAAAGGTAAAATCTTATGTTAAGTTTCTAAACTTACTTTAGGTTTTTGATTAAATTCTTAAATTTTTATTATAACAAATAAGCTCTTAATTTTAGTGATTAGACAATTTAATCTCTCTTTTTTATAATAAATTTAACACTATTTGTGTATTATTTACATAGATAAGGTGCTGACGTATCATTATTTATATAGTAAACATATAAGTAATGTATAAATAGACGTTAAATTTGTCATAAGAAATTTAAATATATAAATTTAAAAGTTTTCTTTCTTTTTTTTTGTACAACAAGAATTGGGGGTAAGGGGAAGGAAAAATGAGGTAAGGGGATTTGAACCTAAGTGGTGTGGGTGAAAAATCCATACAGTAATCACATAATCCATACACAAAGTTCAAATTTAACAGTTTATTGTTGTCAATAAAAATTTAAAGATTTTAATAAGAAATTTAAAATAAATTCAAAGGACTTAATATAAAATTTTGTTGAAACAAAACTAGAAGAAAAAAGCCTTGCCCGTGCCACTCTCTCTGCCAACCGAAATACCCTGTCATTATTTAATATATACTGTACGGATTAAAGGACTCATTATGCTCCGACCGAACAAACTCTGTTCATAGCTGTTTGGAGTAAAAGTGTAAATAAGGATTTTAACTTTGTATTTTTTTTTATTTAAGGCTGTTAACTTTGTCAGTTTTTAAATAAAGATGTCAATTTTCAATTTTTTTTAAATAAGGATGTCAATTTTATCAGTCTCTAAATGATTTGCAAAGCATTTAATGACCTATAATGGCTAGAAACAGCTATTTTTGAGTAAGGGGCTATAAATATGATTGGTAATAAATTTAAAAAAGGTTTGAGAGTATTGTATTGAATATCTTTACTTACCAACTTGTACTTTAACTTGAGTTTTTGATCTTTGCTTGTAATCCTTTTTTTGTTCTACTTGTGTGTTATCTTGGGGATGTGATTATTCCTTCAAGAGTGATTTGTAGAGAGGATTCTTGGGGTTTTTTCTTGTAAAGGGGTGAGATTTGAGAGAAATACTCATCTCCTTGTAAAAGGATTAAGTGGCTCCTTTAAGCGCCAACCTTGTCTTTTTTTAGTGGAGAGTGTGAAGGAAATCCTTGGTGAGTGAAGCCAAGATAAAGGACTAGGCTCCAAGTGGTTGGACAGAATCTCTATAAAATCATTGTGCAAGGTCTTCTTTTTTACTATCTCTTTAATTTTTGTTTGGTGGTTGCAAAAAGGTGAAAATTTTCCAATTGCAATTCACCCCCCCTCTTGAAGTGCATTGAGTCAACATTTTGGTCATGAAAATTATACCTAGTAAAGGTGGAGGACGGTTGTAGATCTATATCAATAGTTGACTCGTTGATCTTGAAGGCACATAGCTTTGGTTACTATAATCATTGCTTTCCCTCATTAAATTTTGTGCTTCATAAAAAAGTTGTCGAGTCCTCTAGTTGAAGGTGGTGAAACCCTCTGTGACTCCTCCTGTCTCGAACACAATTGTCTTGAATCTTACATTAGAATATTCACAACATGTGCTAAAGATATCACAACTTACTCAATTGCTCACAAACTATGCCTTGTATCCACCATATCCTGCTCAAGCCTCCTAACTTGAGATGCCAACGACAAATCTCTCAATGTAGCTCCATTAAGTGCACCTCCAAATTTGGTTTTTGATGAAAAGAAACTTGTTATCATCTCCATCAAATTTAGATCTTGGGGCATCCATGAATAGCAATGGCAAATCCTTGTTGCCAAAATTTGCCATGTAGTGTTTGCAGATCAAAAAGAACTCGGGCCCACAATGTGTGCCCAATGTTAACACTAAAAAATAAAAAGATTGTGTGCAACCAAATACTTTATTAATCAAGGATGGAGAGAGCTTATAATAGAGAAAAAATGAAGAAAAATAATCCTTTTCCTAGGCCTAGCATTGGAGTATTTATTGGATATTATATAGAATCATTCTAAGATTACACTTCTAATTGGATTGGTGTTAGGTATTTTAGTTTTAGTAGGATTTAGCCTATCTAATCTTAATAGAACTCTTCTAAAATGCCTCCACGTGTCCCAATTCTTATATGCTCAATTTAGAGAATAACATCTAGCTAATGATTTTAGTTTTCTAACTAGTTTCCTTTTCTTTGTAAAAATTTTATATTTAAGTTGCCAAACTTCTGAAAATGCTAAGACCACAATCACAAATTTAAATCAAAGTGAGTTCACCGTTCCTTGAGCTGAAAAATTAGAAAAAAAAAATACATTGAGCAGGAATATACGTATTTATAGTTTTATAAATTAGGGCGTTGTAAACTCAACACGCAAAGAGAGCAAGCATATATATCTACTCATTCATTCTAGCAATGTTTAATTTTTTTTGTAATGATAAATGTGAGAGTCCTCGCATATTTA